GCGTGCACGCGTCGGAATGTACGTCGTATAAAATAGCGGTCGCGAGCCGACCTACACGCGGAAAGAAAGATTTTCGCGAAGCGTTTAAAAGTTTAATTGTAAATATACACAAATCTAAAAATAATTTTATTGGATCGTGAAAGTAATTACGCGTGGAAATCTCACGCATGCTGAATAAATGTTGTAAAAAGTTTGCCGGATTGCCACGAAACTGGAAATCGAGGAAATATCAGAGGAACGATCAGGGAAATTCACGAAACAGTCAGGGAGTTTTTTTTTGGAAATTTATATATAAAATTATCGATTTTACAGAAGTTTGATACACGTTACATCACACCGACGTATTTGTGGAATACTACCAGTAGCTTAATCAATATCAGTAACATTAATAGTAATTTACATTGCTGTGTCAAATTACTTCCTGAAAATATTTAGCGGTTCCTAAATCAGGATGAAACTCCATAAAAATTTCAAAATGTTGAAAGCAAGGAAAATCATGAATTAAATTTCGTCGAGAAGTCAGGGAAAAGTTATATGGAATTTTGGGACGACGAATTTGCGGCAAAACGCGTGGTTTGGACATTCTAGCGCTATAGTTTGAGCGTCCTACATAATTATTTTGATAATCCAATAAAATTATATTTAGATCTATAGCTGAATCTTCAGATACTCCTCAGCGGAACTGTCCCTTCCCCTTACATTGATACGTCACAAGTAAAAGGAATCGGATATCAGGGACGCATTACGATGTCGTTTCCTTTTAATCGCGGGAGCGATACCCTCGTATTAAGCCCTCCGACATTAACCCCTGCCGATAGACGCGTGGCCGCGAGGTTTACAAACGAGATGCAAGCCGCGAGGATTTCACAAGTGGAAAAGGAGCGTCGCGGGGCGTGGCGGCTCTCTCTCAACTCTGATTTACGGCCGGTTAAGAACCGCGTATTATCGCCACATACAACTAATCCTTCCCAGAGTGTATTTCCTCCCCCCTACCTCTGCCCTATTGTCCCATCTGTGCGTCGCCTCACCCTCGCGACCTCCTCAATCACCCCTAACCCTCTTTCGCGGTCACCCTCCTCCCACGTTTTGTGTACCTCTCCGTCCTGTCCCTCATCCCCCTGCGCTTCCTTCCTCCTCTTTCCATAACCATCTTACCTCTAACCGTCCATCCGTCTCTCCAGCCCCTTTCTCCCGCACTATACACGCTTTGCCCTGCTCTCTCTCTCTCTCTTTCTCTGTCCCTCTCGCGCCTCCTTTCTCCCTCGCCCCCCTAGGTTCTCCTCTTGTTCCCGTTCCCGTTGTCGATTCAACAAGTGCCCGGTCACGCTTCGCAAATATCGCACGTAAGAGGAGGAGACGCCGGAGATTACGGCCGCATCCACAGTCGAGCGCGCGCGCGCGCGTCCCATTCGCCGAGTTTCGCCGAAATTTTCAAGTACATACCCCCCGAGTACTACTCCTCGTGAGGCGGGAGGGGTAATCGGGAGACAACGAGCAAGTTTCTCACCGATCGACGAAATTATTAACCCACGTTACGCGTATACACCCTCGTTCTCGCGAGTTTATCTCCCAACGCACTTCCACGACGTATCGAGATTCCCTCGTTTCGCATGAATCTCGACGTGATTTGAAATTTGTGAATCGTTTCGACGATTCGCATTATTCGCGAGGCATAATTTATCGGCGTGGAGCACGCACGATATCGTTTTCGATATCGTTCTATAATAAGCGAAGTAAACAGTAGATCGTAGGCAACAAAGATTTTGCGAAACGTTTCGTTGAACGACGTAGAAATAATTTCATTTATCCGCCTGACAATTTGCTCGGAAACATCTTTATATAGATCCGCAAAGTGAGCCGTCGCGCAGCGAATGTCACTTTTAGAAAAAGAATGTAGTTTTGAGAAGAAGAAAGAGTCGCTCGGTAAAGAGTTAGCGTGCGATTCTCTGGAATCGCTAGAAGGCGAGATTAGATCCGCGCCGCGGATCGTTTTTTCCTCCGTCGATGATTCCACCACGAACTCGTTCCTCCGAGCTGGCCGGTTGACCACGTCGTCGCGCTGTTGGAAGGAGAATCTCCGCGAGCGAGTCATATTCCAAGTAGGCCGCTACGGCCGGCTGCGGCGGATGTACGCGGTCGTAAGAGCGAGCTGTTGCCGCTAGAGAGACACACACACTCGTGTGTGTGTTCCAGGCCAGGAACGTAGCTATACTGCGTGCGGCAAGTAGAAAACGCTCAAACTTGAAGTCTACCCGCCCGAGAGTCTGCTTGTCTTGACTGATAAGACGAACTGGGTCACTCTCAGCCGAGTATAAAATTATATACAGAAATTTATACGGCTTCGATTGCGGGGAGCTAAATAGCTCACGGAACTCGAATAGTATATTGACGCACATCGCGCAATTACGCGATAGAGAGATGAAATCGTGAAGAAGAAAAAAAGGAGAGTTTACTTATTTATCGACTTCTCTTTTCGATTTTATCGAATTTAGAATTTCTTCGCTCTTGATTTATGGGTTATAACGGAAATCGTACGGAATAGAACGGCAATAGCGGGAACGTACATTTGCGCGTCACGTTGGCTCTACTATCTATAGTCTCTAGTCTATCGTATACGCCACAAGAGCTTGGTCACCACATCGTCCACTACCGCCGACGGAGTCGCGCTATCAGCCCAGCTCGAGGCGGCGTTCGTAATGACGTGCGGACGCCGGAGTTCGATGGAAACGCGGTGACGTTTTGTTTCCCGAGAGCCATTAGATCGTCCCGTTCGCGCACGAAATTCTCGCTCGCAAACCGTTCCCAGACCACGCGGCGCTTCGTTTTATCGTGAACGAGCGGCGGGTATACACACGGATACCATATGAAAATTAATGAAACTTAATATTTCATTGGCCGCGCACGGCGCGCATAGTGAAACGACGAACACCTTGCAGCCGCTGTTATCAGTTCTCACTTATGAAAAGTAAGACGTATACGCTACCACGCATCGACGACTTCCAACTTTTTAAAACAAAAAGAAAAAAAGAAACGTACGAGCGTCAAGTCGAAGACTCTCCCGACTGTCAAGAAGACGCTATAAAATAATTTCGTTCCGCAGTTGCCGACTTTTAAAAGTTATGTATTGCGTGAAAAGGAAGACGTGCCCTTTTCGTAAGAAAAAAAGAGAGAGAGAGAGAGAGAGAGAGAGAGGGAAGAAGAGACTTCAAATTTGATAAGCCGCGAGTTGGAAACGTTCGGAATAGGAATAGTATATCCGCAACTATTTCTAACGTGAATTTATGAAAGTTGCGCGAATTATCAAAGTTTGGTAAGTGGCAATTCGCTCTATAATCGAGTCGAGCGACGAAAGTCAAAGAGACGATAATCGACTTCGGTAATGAGATTAATCACGTGATTACGAAGAAGGGGGGACGGGAGGGATTCGCGTCTTCTTCCTTAATTTTGAATTTCATGCGTCTGTGTGCTCGGGGAACCGAAGAGTACTGTCGTTATCCTTTTCGGTCGACCTGGCGACCATCGTCGTCGCTTTTTCGTCTGGCCTCCAGCCAGAGTAATAGTCCCAGCATCTTCTGTTATAATATATATGTATATGGTATATACATATATATATATATGTATCTCTCTCTCTCCCTCTTCTATCCTGCTTCCGTGAAATCAAACGTCATGTGGAGGCCACGTGGACTCGGCCAGCCGACAAACATGTCGCTGGTGACATCTCACGGTATCTCCGAGCACAACCGAGCACGCTATCGTGGCGATACATCCCCCCCCCCCCCCCTCTTCGTCATCGCCGGCCTCTCCCCCTTCTAACTACCCTTCTAACTCCCCCCCCTCCTCCCAGCCTCTCTTTCTCACGCTCGCGAGAACGCGTTCTTGCTCGCGCCAGCAGAGAAACGCGTCTCTCTGTCTCCCGAGGTGAGCAAGGGCTTGGAGGGAGGAACGATTATTTACTTACTTTCACTCGCGCGACCTCGTACGCGCGTAAATCATCCACGGCTGCGTGGGTACTGCTTTCGTAGGGTCCGCGGCGCCAAGATACGCACGCGAGTTCGACCCGCCCTACGATCGACGAGACGAAGAGAAATTATAATCCCGGTGTTCATGTCTCGACCTCATTTCCAGTTCGAGGGAAAAAACGCGCATACGATTTTTAATATCAAAGAAATAAAGTACAGAAATCGATAATGCTCAACAATAAAGATATTCCTCGGTTGAATTAAACTCGATAGGAAAAAAAAAAAAAACATAAAATACGAACCTTTTTTTTATTTAAACAAAGATGACTACTCCGTTATCAGACCGTTTCACAGTTTGTAAAATTATAAGTATTAAAAAAAAAGAGTAGGTATAACTTTTCTTTGTCCCGCTTGTGGGTTTCTTTGTCGTAAGTGCCGGCGAGCATTTCTAAGATAACTGCTGTTGGAAGTCTGAAGCCAGCTCGCTCGCCAGCGTTCCGCTGATGATTTCTTCCCGGCAGGGCTAAGGAGTCGCGTGACGTCACTTTTTCCATCGCCCCGATGGAGTGCCGAGCGTCTGAGTCACGTCCTCTGTTGCCTACTCTCTCGCCTCCGATCGTCGCGCGAAACTAAACGCGCCTATTCGTCTTTGTTGCATCAACATCGACGAATAACTTTGAGATAACTAACTGACCCTTGACAAATTTAGTTGTAGAGACTGAATATAATGGAATTATACCTAACTCTCGATTACAACAACGAGTCATTTGGACTCAAAGCGAAAATTTTAGATGATTGCTTATACGATATATGGTACTATGAGATTCTAAATTGTAGGTAAAAAACTTTGAATCTTCCTCTATCACCATAAGGCGGAGATTCACTTGCATTCTATAATACTTCGAACAGAACTTAGATGTAGTTTTCATAACTGTAGTTGAAGACTAGCGATAGCTGTACACGTCTTTTATATAGATAGAGCGCTGGATGCGCACGAAGAAATACACGAAGCTAACGTTAGCGATTTGTGGATGTTTTCAGAGTTGTGCAATGATGGGTCTGCAGGCGACGGCAGGAAAACGCAAATTGGAGGGTGGTGTCGGCTGTATGGAATTCCACATGGACTTAGGCGAGAGTCCGTCGAAGCTCGGACGCGTGGATGGTAGCTGGTGGGCGATGGACGACAGTTACGGGCCGCCCCTGAACCAGACATCGACGTCATATTACGAGATGGAAGTGAGCTCGCCCTGCCTACAGGCGACGAACTCGTGCCAGCCCTCGACGACGAGTTCTTCGCAGTCGCAGCAGCAGCAGCAGCAGCAACAACAGCAGCAGCAATCCCCGCAACATCCGTCGCAACACCATCCATCTTCCCAATCGCCGCAACAGGCACAGCAACAACAGCAGCAGCAGCAGTCACAACAACAACAGCAACAGCAGCAACAACAACAACAATCACCGGCGTCATCCTCGACATCGGCCTCGTCCACAGTGACGCAGTTGCATCATCACACGCAACATTATTATCACCATCAACGCGCCACCGTCAGTCCTATCGGCAGCAACGGTTATAGCCAGCTATCGAGATCTCAGCCGCAATGGGTTGCCCTTCATCATTACGAACCGCCAACGATACGTCGAGAAGAAAATGGCAAGAGCTATCTGGAGCTCGGTTCAAGTTACCGAGCGAACGAGCGGTGTTGCGAAGGTTCCAAGTCCAGCTGGTGTCGGCGCGGCCGGGCCTGTTACAGGCAGCGGCGACTCGCCGTGCTTAACATTTCGATGTGCAAACTCGCCAGGTACCGCCAATTCCCGGATCCGAGCCTCCACCGATCTGTACTGATCTGCAATACTTTGAGACACTTGGAACGTGAGATGGAAAGGGACAGGAGTCCACCACCTATGGAGCCGGTCGTGCCGGCGCCAATCGCTCAACTGCAACCGCCCGAACAGGGTAGGCTAACACCTTTCCCTGTGCCCCCAACGTCGTCGGGCGAGACCGACGTCGACTCTGGCATCGGTGACAGCGACGACAGCCGATCGATCAATTGGGGTAGTGTACTATCTTTATCGAGCCAGTCGCCGCTCGACCCGCTCAACAACAACGAACTACTGGATGTGGACATTGGGCCCGATCTTGACCTGGATTTTATGCCCGGGTGGAAGTTGACGCCTCTTTCAGCGGATGATATCCTAAGAAGTACAACGACGACCCAGGAACAGCAGCATCATCATCATCACCACCACCACCATCATCATCACCATCAACATCATCATCATCAGCAACAGCAGCAGCAACAGCAACATCTGATGTCGTCGGGGAGCAGTTGTGGTAGCAGCTGCGGTAATAGCAATGTCATTGGAAGTGCCGGCGTCAGCAACGTTGGTAGCAGCAGTAGTACGCACGAGTCGTTGATGTGTGTAGGATCATAGCCCTCGACTTTGACGTCGTTGAGTCACCTCATCGATTTCTATCCGCTAACGCCGCAGGGCAAATAAATTCGCGATAGTCGAACGCAGCTCGCGATCCGCAGTCCGCGGATTCTGAAAAGGCGCGCGGGCGAGAGGCGCGAGGTGATGAATATGGATCTCTCGCCCACCCTCTGGAGCGCTCGACGTCCGGCCGGCGACTCTCGAGGAGCCGCCTTCACTTTCTGTTTCGCGTTAATTTATTGCCGCGTCAATTACACGTGTACCACACTGATACATACAAATGAACACGCGTACACACCGAAACCTTTCTGTGACACTTTTGTTCTTCCTCCGCTCTTTTAACCACCGCTCCTGCTCCGATCATCATCGCTACCATTACTGAACCCTACCGTTACCATTACTTCTATTCTACCATCCCTCCTGAAACTATTTGCCCTCCCCCTTCCCTCCCCTCCGCCCCACTATCGTTATTGTTACTTCTATTACTATCGCTATTACTATTGCTATAGTAATACTATATTACTACTCTTACTCTAATACTATTACTACTATTACTATTATTACTATCGCTAATCAACGTGTCTCCCAACGTTCTGCTCCCCGAGGGACGGACGCGTCATGACACGCGGCATCCGCAGGTGCAGACAAAATAGAGCGCTCTGAGGGCTTAACGAACGTGTTAAGAACGGGGAGAGAGAAGAAGAAGAGAGGATAAGGGAAAGAAAGCCTTTACTGTGTGTCCGCGTGTCGACAGGTGCTGCTATTCGCGATGATCTGGTGTCCTGACAAATATTCGGACGATAACTTTCGTATATTAAGCTACCGCGTACATGATCGCGGAGCCCCGCGTGTATCATCATCCCCGTCGTGGAATTTCGAGACCGCAGGTGCAAGCGTAATTTACATGCGCCTCGGGATAACGTACCTCAAGATTTGAGAGAGAGAGAGAGAGAGAGAGAGCTATTGATAATGATCGACTCTTCAACAGCGTGTAACAATGATTCGATACATGTGATCCTAGGAAGATTGAGACAATGTTTCTGCAATTGCATTTGCGAGCTCGAAAATCCACGCGCGAATCCTCCGAAGGTGATTAAGATGTACAAGAAAATGTACAGAGAGATTCGAGATAACGGACAGAAGAGGAAGAGAGAGAGAGAAAGAGAGAGAAAATGGTATTGGCTACGTCGAGTACGAAGAAGCTTCCTCTTCGAGGCTGGAAAAACCGACGAGAATGTTGCGATCGAAGTCTTCCTGGGGAGCTTCTGCTCCCTCGCCGTTCTCGTTCGCAGCCTCAAATTGTCCGAGGGATTTTCTTCGTGGAATGGCGTGCGATGTCGAGGTCCGCGTCTCTGGAAGGAACAATCGATGATAATCACCGACGATACGCTACTCGCGCATATACATATAATACATACACAGACACGCATGTCCACATGCATTCAACAATATTATATATATACACACACGTACATATACATACAAACGAACAGTATACAATACGATTGCCGTGGCCTATATTACACGAAGAGACAGACACGTGCGAGTGTGAGTGCACGCAAGTCGTAGGGTGCTACAGGGCGGCTGCATCCTGGTGCTTCTATCCTCTGGACAAACGACACACACACACATACATATATACAGAGATACATAGATACACGGGCATACATTGCCGAAGACGTACCGAATTCGCACGGGTCGCTCGAGTGTCACGTCGTGACGCGTGTCCTGCCGTCGTAAGCGTGATACGATGTAAGTCGGAGATGTCGGCGTCTCGAACTTGAGACACACTTTCGGCACCACTGATTCAGCGTAGATTCCGCTTGTTCGAGCATCTCATCTCGCGTACCGGGAGATTATATCAATCAAAAAAAAGGCCTGAATCTATTAAAAAATTAATCGGATCCTATATGATGCTCTTAAAATGGAAATACGTGTGGCAATCATTTTTGTCTGATACATTGACGTATGCGATTATAGGACTTAACGTAAGCTGAAATGTCCATCGCATTAAAAATAAAGTCGTAATTTATGAACGTACATAGCAAATTATTGAACAGGTTGAATCGGGTTGGTGCAATTGGGTCTCGATTAATAGTTTACATGTTTCCGTGGAAATAAAAAAAAAAACAATGAGTGAGAGAGGGTTGAAACATTTGCGTTGAAACTGCAGGATGTTTGAGCTTAAAATATGCGATTTAATCAGTGAGTGCATCCGTTTAAGAACATTACAAGCAGAACAAAAGTTATTTTCATATATAGCGATTATACGAGATCTCATAAATGATCTTTATCTGCCTTGATTTTTACACTGTATGTACATCTAGGATCTAAACGCACACACGTACACGTGTGTGTGAAGTGTAGATGAAGATATATATATATATATATATATATATTTATTTATTTTTATTTGAAAGCTACACGTGTTTTTTAACGCGGACGCTCACTGATTAATAATAGCAATCTGTGCACTGATTATTTTTTCAGCGAATAGTAATATTTATTTAGAATTCTTTCAGCACTTTTTTTTTTGCACGATTCAGCAGGGAAATATATGCTGTGATTGTCTCAATCGCCAAATCTAATCGCAAGTTGAAATGTGAGAATTAAGCATGCAAAGTAGTCCATTAGGTTTTCAAAGTCCATTAAGCTTCAACGCAACGGATTAACCCTAAAATGCATGACGTGGGCCAGTATAACTCGATTTTAAATGCGAACTCCGCATTAATTATTTGATTAGACTGACCATGAAGCTTCCCGCGAATAAATAAATACAAAAATATTGAACAATGGAAAATCATCTTTAAAAACGAAGAAAGAATATAGATAATTCGTTGCATGCTAAAAATTGTCGCAAGTGGAAGAAACGAGGTATAAAGTGAGTACTAAAAATAAAAGATAAATTTTTTAAGTCTAATGAAATTTATATCGTGGTTAATTATAACGAGATTTTTAAAAATTACATTTTTTAAAGATGTTGGAGAATTACCTCCCTTCATTCCTGCGATATCGAAAAGAGAGAATTAGTGAAAAAATATGAAGGGAGGTAATTACGAATGGGGTGCAACAGGCCACGTCGAGCATCGCGTGCGTTTGTTGTATGTATGTGTATCGCACGTGTGTGTGTGTGTGTGTGTGTGTAAGAGATAGGTGACGCGTCCCAAGGAGATTAACGCGAGACGCCGACGCCTTCGTGTGGATATCTTGTGTCTCGACATACGACGTCGACAAATGTACCTGCATTTTAGAGATCGGGATAACGTTCTCCCCTTCGGATCGTCGCACGGTGGCCACTGCGCGCCACTGATCTCCCATAAATGTATCATATGTACACACATACATATATATAAATATATATATATATATATAAATATATAAAATAAATTAGAGAGTGGCCGGCGTGCGCGCGCGTGAAGAAGGCGAAACGCTTGGAGTTAAGGTCGATTTAAAAGCCCGCTCGACCCCGGACGCATCTTCTCGCGTGAATCCGTGCGCGATCTCGCCCTCAACGTCCACGAATCTATTGAAGAGCAGCTATACTTAAAAGCTAAACGATTTAAGAAAGTCTAACGTTACGAAAGAGAGTAATAATAGTAACTTATCGACTCGACTGATTACTTAAACGCGAGGGTGAATGTGAGTGAGCGAGAATGCGAGAGAGAGAGAGAGAGAGAGACACACAGAGAGTAAAAAAGGGATGATGTGACGATATCGCGATATAGAGTTGATTTAAATTGTAATTGTATGTAATGATGTTCTCTCTTATATAACACGCGACACAAACACGAAACATAACACACACAGCACATCTATACGTATACACATACACACAAAGATATACGCGAGGTATGCTAGGTACTTGTTGTACATATATATATACATATAATATGCGTTACTTATACTAAGTCTAAGCTCTTAAGCATAAACGCGAATCGTCGAGAAAGAAGAGACCCTTCACACCTTTCGTCCCACCCTGCGAGTCGTGACAACTATCCTCCTTCCTCGAGTTCTATTTTCTACTTTGTACTACAGCACACACACGATCGGCACACCTTCTCTCAAACGCGCATCTCCCCCCTCCCCCTCCTCCCCCCCTCCCGTTCTTCTCCGTAAATCCCATTCTGTCCCCTTTTACACTAAACCGTCCTTATCCGATGATAATGCT